CTATGACGTGGAGAGAGAGAGAGAGGTCAGCGGGTCGCGGGTCAGTGGCCTTCCGTGATGTCCCGGCCCCGCGGGGTCATTCCGTGATGTGCCCGGCCCGGCCCGCCCCCGGCACGCCCCGCCACGCCCCGCCACCGCGACATCCAGGCCACATGCCAGTCGAGTCTGCGGGGCCGCGATGAGTCCCGGATAGCGGCCTGCAGTCCATTTGCATGAGGTGCATGAGGTGCTCCGGGGCCTCGTCCGGCTGGCGCAGCTATCGACTGGCTGCATGGGGCTTATCTGCAGCTTGGCATGGTTTACTTTGTATTTTTATTTTTGAAAAAAAAGAAAACAATAAGCGAGGACACATTATTGTTTAATTGGTATACCACCAATATATTGGCGATGTGCGACATGACTTACTCCAGAGCTGTGGTAGCCCTGCGATATGTTGGCACATTCGGATGTATGTCGTTGTTTTCATTAATTATTCGAATGCTGCAATCATTAATTATTTAAAAAACTAAATGTTTGCTCGTTGACTAAGGCCCGCGGGTGGGTCCGGGGTCCCCGGCTCCCCGGTTCGCCCGGGCGTGTTGTTGACCCACGTGCACAGCCGAGCGGCGCTGCCAGCCGAACCCTTCCGGTCCGCCCAAATCGGCTCGGCTATATCGGCAGGGAGAAACGCAGTGCAAACATTTACCGGTCGGATTACAGTCGGCCTGGTCCTGGTGCTGATGGTAGTGGATAAGATCATTAAGACGAGTGTCGGCTAGCAACACGGGGAAGGGCCGGTCCGCTTCCTTTTCTTTCCTGTTTTGAAAAAAGAGACGGGGTGGGTGTAACCCAAGTCTGCCCCAATCCGTTTGTCGTAACACCGATTAATCATGAGAGCGATCCATGGTTTAAAAGCAGGGAAAAGGTAATCAAATCGTTTTTATTTCGTAGCTATGGTAAAGTGAGACCGAGTGAGGCACTGAGGCGCACCCTGCAGCACATAGAATTTCCGGATCTTAAATTCAGCAAATCGTTCTAATTTTTGCGCGTTATTAACTATTGCTGCATGTCGCGTGAGTCGCCGCACGTGCGTGAGGGATGGCATATTACTGCTAGCAGCCCGCTGGCCAACCATTAGCCAAGCAGCTAACTGGCAAACAATGAGGGCGATAATGAACAGAAGATGGCGTTTTCCGAAATCGGTCCCGGAGATCGTTCGTGCCGAGCAAGCTCGCTGGCTTATACGGCGATACACGGATATCATAAAGCGAATCGGGGGGAAGGTTATGGGTGGCGAGGGGTAGAGAAGGGGGGGGGTGACAATCGAGATATGCATCGTATACAATGGGCAAAAGTCGACGGCAGAAGAGGAGGGCGAGCTAAGGGTGAGTATGGAGAGAGGGAAGGAAGAGCAATACAACATTAAAAGACGGGAACGAAAAACAGTAATTATTACAGAAACCCAGAAACCGTAAGTCGACCACAGAACTTTCACCAGCCGCGCACTCGTCGTATGATGACCTGCATCCACGATGAAGATCAATTTAACCTTTTC